GATTTTATCAGTTGTCAAGATCAAACCTTTTTTTTTAACTCAAGTCATGACAGTGAGTAAATATCACTTTCAGTAAGCAACAAGAAGTACTAACATCAGTAGAAAACATCAAGTTCTAAACATCAGTAAAAAAAAATATCAAGTATTAAACATCACATACTAAACATCAGTAGAAAACATCAAGTACTAAACATAATTAAGGAGAGTTATTATTTTGCAATTCCTTTTATCAGCTTGCAAAGTCTTCATGGGCTCAAAAACCTGAAATCGATGGTCATGGATCTCAAAAACGACTGTAATGATTTTCCTAGAAATTTGAAAGTTTATGCATATCTTTGAGAAAAGAGTTATTAGCTGACTGGCCATGAACGGAAAACTCTTGTTTTACTGTTAAAATTTTTCAAAGTATAATTTCTTAAAATTTGGTTTGGAGGTTTAGACAATCTACATCATGAACAGCATACGCCAGTGGGTATCCTGCAAGTATTCATTAAAAGAGTTAAATAAATAAATAGATTTCTAGAACATTTTTGTACACCATCCTTATCTATAGGCCTATCACAATCCTAGAATCTTCTATCCCAGTGTTAGTTAATTATTCCTGTAGTTTGTGGAACACTAGCGTTCAGCGGAACACAGTTTGGGAAACACCATATATCTAGATCCAGTATTTTAGACTAGACTACTGACTTTTAAAGTTGCCACGTCTGGATCTGTATCACCAAACCACAATTTTATATACTGGTACTCTGAGTAGTATTATGCATGAACTAAACCAGGATTTGTTTTTAGTGTAGAGGGGGAAGGGGGCATGGTAAAAATGTTTTCTTTTTTAAATTTATTATACATTTAGTATTAAGGGCAAAGTGATCGCTATCACAAAATGTTATCACATTCACACAGTACCGGTAGGAATTCTCTTTTTAAAAAAACTTGTTTAATGTTACATGTTTGTCTTCAAGAGACATTACTTAACTGCCCAGATTTGTTCTATGAGGGTACTAATCAGATCTGATATAGAAAAAAAAAACATTATTCAGAAAAAATAGCTTTAAACACTTTAACAGTTAATGCATAAGATGGTTGATGTATTCTAATAAGTATTTTGTCTGTTTCAGGGTCACCTTGGTATTCTGATGGCTTACCTTCTGCAAGACTGTAATGTCTTTTTGGTGGAAAATAAAGAGGAATCACTGCTTAAGGCCTGCTCTAGAATTACTTCCCTTGGACTTCAAAATGTCACTCTTTACCAGGTAGAAGGATTTGTAATATATATATATAGAATAATATTATTGACTTTTTAGGAAACAGAAGTTGACTTTATAACTATTTTCACAAGGATATTTTGAGGTCTAGCAAGAAGTTGATCTTGTTGATTACTTTTTTAATTCCTATAGTAATGTCTAGCACACCTAGAATTATGTCAGACAATTATTGAACTTTAGAACTAGTATGCTATCACTTACTTCCCTTACTTAGTGTTCAAGTCATCCCAACAGGCTGCTTTTATTTTGTATTTTTCCTTAGTGCAATTTAGATTATTTCATTGGAAAGTTTGATGTGGGCACTTCTCTGCATGCTTGTGGATCAGCAACAGACATGGTTCTACAACTCTGTCAAGACGCTCAGGCATCTTTTGTGGTATGCCCTTGTTGTTATGGCAGCATCCAGAAAACCCACTTAATGAGCTATCCTCGTAGTCAGCTGTTTATACAACATGCTGTGACTTATAAGGTAAATATGCAATTGATAGCATTTACTTTCAAAGCAAAGGACTATTTAAATTCCAAATATGAATAACTTTGTAATAGTTGAGTTGCACCTTACTCTTTCATGGAAATGGGAAATTCTATGGAACAAAATATCCATTTGTTACTTTAAAGAACGCAAAAAAAATTTTGTTCTGATTTGTTAGTTTAAAAAAAAAATTTGTTTAAACAAAAAGGTTGAATTTTGGAATATTTTCTTTGTGGTAAGATTTATTGTTGGACAGTATAGTTTTTGGATGTTGCTAATTTATAACATTTTCTTTCTAAAACTGAAGTCCATGGGTCAGATAAGGTAATTATCACTTGTTTATTTGGCCAATAGTTGAGAGTTATGTGACCAGAACATACAAAGGTCAGTAACTTAATCAACTGGCTTGACTCAGGTATGGGCAAAAAATGTTAAAACAGCCTGTATTGGAATTTGTCCACAAAACTCTGTTATTAAATCATTACTCTAACTTCTGTAGTTCACTACCCAATTTGTCATGTTGTTTCTTCTTCATTCTTATTATATTTTGGAGGGTTCAGTTGAACTGCTCAGTGCTTTCCAGATCTGGCAGCTTTCCATATAGTTTTTTTTTCTTTAGGGGGTTTTGGGGACAGTGTTCAGATGTCACGATAAAATATGCAGCTCTGAAGGACTTGGTCGGCATTCATGGTAATGGTCCACTAGTACAAATCTCACTAGCCCCTATTTTTAGCTTCTGTAACATGTTTTCTTTCTTTCTGTTGTGTCTGGTTCTGGCCTTGTTGGGATTGCTTGTAACAGGCATAGTTTTTTTTTTAATTTTGGGTGAGAGCTGATCTATTTCTCATTTATTCTAATGTTGGTTAATCTTGGGATGTACACATGACCCAATCTTTCCCAGCCTTATGTGTTGTACTCTGTTATTAGTCACTTTCCAAACCCTCTTAGAAAAGAGATACAAGTTTCAGTTCTTTACACATTTACCTAGTTACTAACACAGCAATATAATGTGACACTGAATATGGAGAAACTGGTCTTACTAACACAGCAATATAATGTGACACTGAATATGGAGAAACTGGTCTTACTAACACAGCAATATAATGTGACACTGAATATGGAGAAACTGGTCTTACTAACACAGCAACATAATGTGACACTAAGCATGGTTTCACTTGTGCGTTACATTGGCAGTGTGTTAAGCCTTCAGGAGTTTTCTCTATTGCTTCTTATACTTGTACATCAAAACTAATTTAGTTCAAAGGTCTAGTTTTATGTCTTTTTTTTTCCTAGGAGTATCTGACACTGGGTCATGCTGCTGATCAGACAGAACACAACATTACTATAGAGGAGAGAGGTAGGATAGAAAGCTGTTTTGTTTTTTTTAAAGAAAAAAACAAAATTAAGAAATAGCATTGAATGAAAGCATGATTTTGAAAGTCTTTGAGAGTAAATGCCTTGCTTACTGAAAAGACGTCCCCAGCCCTCACTGGCAGCAGTCTTTGGCCACAGTTTTTGTTGACCCCCAAGCAGAGGTGAATATGTCACAACTATTTGGCCATAGTTTTTGTTGAACCCCAAGCAGAGGTGAATATGTCACAACTATTTGGCCTTTGTTTTTGTTGACCCCCAAGCAGAGGTGAATATGTCACAACTATTTGGCCTTAGTTTTTGTTGACCCCCAAGCAGAGGTGAATATGTCACAACTATTTACCATGTAGTCTTCAGCCAAGCGATCCCACAAATGTTTTCCTATTTGTCTATCCAGATGATAGATCAACAAGCATGTCAGGGCTTATTGTAGTTTAATGAAGTACTACATTTGTTAAAAAGTTAACCTTAATTTTGAGAGGTCAAGGTCTATGGGCCAGGTGATGATACTAAGTGGGTCATGCTGCCAGCACAAAAGTGATCACTGACTTTTTGACAATTTAAAAACTTTCCCAATGCTTTGTAAGCACTCACATTTAAAGTTATCAGAAATAAAAAAAAACTTGTCATTTAACCATCAAAGACATTGTTTTGGTATTTATTATCTAATTTTTTTGCCATTTATAATTTACAAAAACATTTTAGGTTCTTGTTTGTATAAAATTCAAGAACTTGAGATGAAGTATAGAAAGTGGAGGTAACTTTGTTTAACTCTGCTTGAGTTGTCTGATATGAGAAGGAGCTCATTATTTCTAATTAAACTCAAAATGTGCAGTTGTTTTTTTTACCTAAAGACATTATTTTGCGGCCTTGCGCTCTACAAGTACAGAATTGTTAAGACAATTTATTTATTAGCAATGGCCATTCTAATCAAAGAACACTTTCTAACACTCATTTCACCTTTCTCAAGCTATACAAGTTCTCCCCCACCCCCCCCTTTTTTTTTTTTTGCCAAGGATTGACCTATGTAACTGTAAGTGCATTTTAATTTGTTTTTATTCAATACAATGCAAGGTCACCTCTGTATGGATTTGATAGACACAGACAGGCTTCATAATGCACAGCAGATGGGATACCTTGTGACCCTGACCTCACTTCAACCGCTCTCCTGTACACCTAAGAATAACTTACTGATAGGCAAACATAATTCCTAGGAAAATACAATTCTCATAAGTGAATGTTCAATGCCAAGAAATCAACAAAGAACTGAATTTTGTTAGCTCTATTTTATTAACTAATCACTGTTAGTTTTTACATATTAGAAAACTTTGTTGACTTCAATGGTATTCAGAATACAAGTGATGTGGATAATGCAGTATTAAGAGGGGGGGAAAAAAACTTCTTTCCTTTTTCCATCATCTGTCTAAATCTGTTTGTGATTTGATTTTTCAACAAAATATACCATCTCCCTGCATCTTTTTTAAAAAAACAAAACTTTTGCTCAGCACATGTCTGCCATGTATGGTATTGATGTCAGCTCTTTACTCTTGAATTAAGGAAAGTTATTTTGAAAAAACATCAGTTCTACTCTTCTTCCAGTATCAGTTTGACAAAGATTGTATGAACTCACTGTCTGGTCAAAAGTAGGGACGTTGTTCACCTACACTTTCAGAGCAAGTTGAAACTTTGCACAATTAGTCATTGGCATAGAAATGGCATGAATCAATACAAAAAATGAACCAATTTTTAGTCCTTTACTGGAGTTTCTTTCCTTTGTGTTTTAAACATTTTTTTTAAAAATATAGTTTTGTATTATTTTGTTTTATAATTTTAAATTGATATCTGACAGTTGTTTTTTTTATCAAGCTTCAATAAAATGTTCACACAGATACTCATGTTTGAATGTTTTATTTCTTCATAAAAATAGTTCAAGTTCATAAGAATTCAATATTTACAATAACAGTGACAGTATATAACAAGACATCATAACATTAATAAGTCTTCATCTGTTGCCACAGCAAGCTTTCACCATAGCCAATATATTTAAGCACAGATTAGGTTGTAACATCAGAATTTCCATGAGATATGAGATAAATAAATAACAACCAAATCCTTAGCTATACTTTTAACTCACATTTTCAATTGTTGGACTAACCTTTTTTGTTGTTTAATTTCAATTCTAGAAACATACAAGATTTAGTAAAATTCTACTAACAATTTCTTAGGAAAAGTGAAATAATGGTAACTGCCTTCCTAAAGTTGAAAAATGGAATAGAGGGAACATACAAATTGTCCTTAACAAGATATATCTAGTGGCTCAAGTTATTTGTTTTATTTTTTGGGGGGGGGGGGGGGGGGGGGGGGGGGGGGGGGGGATTTTCATTTTCTCAATTTTGTAAGACCTGCATAATTTACCCTCATTGAGTCAACCATCATGAAGGTCCATTTGAAAAAAAAAAAAGTGAATTCTTTCCCAGAAAGCTATAGTAAGGGAACATAACAGACAAATGCATATCTAGAAAAAAAAAGTCCAACCAACATTTAGGCACACTTCAGAAAACAAAGTTTCAAACAGACACACAAAGCTGCCATGACAGTGGTTGGAAACAAAAGTGAATGGCCATGTGATGACTGCAAAACTCACTGCATATCTATAAGCATACAATTCAAAGTCATACACATAGGGAAAGTCCACTGGAAGAATGTCTGGGCAAGATAAATGAACACATTTAAATAAAAATATTAAGATGTTTAGTTGGCATGGGAAAATATACAATCTAAGATCACAGCAGCACCAAGATCTGATACCATTTTGTGCTACTAATTAAGATCATTTCAATGTGGGAAAAATCTACTAATGACTGAAAGCCAACATGGACAAAGAGATGGGGTAGAGAAAATGAGATGTGACTTCTTCCTGTGGACCCATGAGAAACAATTTCAAAGAAATAGAAACACTAGTACATTGGTCAAGCCAGACATGCCATGAATTAGTACATAACTAAAAATGATAAGTCAGTCAGATCAAACAAAATCAATAAAAGGGGGAAACCAAAGTGTCCAACATCATTTGTGATTGTGTTGTTCTCAGGATTGGAGTCATGGACAAAAAGTCAATCAAGGGAACAAACTTGCCTTCAAACAACTGAGAATACCTTCAAAACAACTTTATCACCACATTTAAGTTTATATAATCCAACATTGAATTAAAAAGAAAAAAAACATAGAAGAATAATTTTAAAAAGAAACAAAAAAACCTGTCATTTTAAATAATAAGATAACCTGAAGAGTTAAGCACTGAGACCCTAAACTCAGTTCATTAAGATTCTCATCTAAAAAATCAATACCTGCTAACTACATTTTCCTTAATGTTGCAGTATTGCATTACACTACCATGTTAATTTCGCAATGGTTTAATAAACATTAATGGAAACTCAAGTAAATAGTTGACAATGAACGTGGAATCAATTTTTTTAATCATCAGCTAAACCTTGAAGCCGGATGTATTGGCGCAATTGTCAATTTGACAGAGCCGTTTTGGTGTAAAAAAAAATTAAGCCACATTATATATGCTTATTTTATGCAAATCTATGTTTTGTATGTATGTTTGTGTTCAAACATATTGTTTCTTGTTACAATAGTTATTTGTGTCCATTAAATTAGGGATTTAAGTTTGTTGTGTAATTATTGTTAAGTCACTAACATTATAAGTGTGTGTGTGTGTCAAAACCAAAATGAAACAATATATAGAAATAAATCTTCAGTGCAAACAAAAATAATTTATTTAATGTATTTAATTTATAGTTCCTCAAATAAAAAAGGATAAAAATGAATTCATCCTGTGTTTCACAAACCCTGTGTATTATTGTATAATTGATGCGTGTGGAGAAAGCATGTCAGAAATCTGACCTTTCATAGTTTGTATGTTTCACATGTTCCCTCAGAAATAAAAATTATTACATCCGAAACCCCCCACTAGATAGCGAGGATTGCGTTGGGCAGGATTTGAACATAGGAGACATGTTCTAAGCACTTACCACACGAACAGGCAGCCATTCATAGTTTGCAATATGCATTCATGAAATTTTTTAACCTTTTTTTTTTTCATGACAAGGGGGGAGGGTTAATGTATGCTACTGTAGTAACAATGATTATTATAAAAATTTTGTACTTTATGAATTATCATCAGAGCCTTTTGTGCCAAAACGGCTCAATCAAAATGGCTGCATCAAAATGTTGTTTACCCTTCATCGCTTAACTGCCATCAGATCAAAGTACAATGAAACTTTGAACATAGTTGAAACATTTAGTTACATCAAATACAAATAGAGCAATGCTTACAAAATGTTTAAAACAAAACTAGCTAGCTAATAGGTCACATCAGAAAAATCAAGTGTAAATCTTTTATTTCAAAACAAAAATTTGGTCCACGATGTCACTAAAAGCACAGCTTCATAAAACACTAGTTCAGCTTCTTAAGAACCAATTTTACAAGCTATAACATCTCTGTGCTTTATCTTAAATATGTCTATAAATTTTTTCCCAAAAATAATACAGAAAAAAAAATTAACTTAGGCTCATATGTGTCTGCTCTTACACCAATCTTACTGTTACACTTGCACACAATAAACATACCCTTCTAAGAAGTGAATATGGAACAAATAACTGACATATTCTCCCTATTGTTCATGTTAAAAGCTTCATTTTCAGAATCCAATGAGCTTAGGAGTTATTGTCATCAAACTCAAGCAAAATACCATTCAAATCATACAACTGATTACTTACACTCAAAACTTGAGGTCTTTTAAATATATAAGCTACAACTGATGACTTAAAACAAATGTTTCCTAGTTGCTGGGAGGGGGGTTGTGCTTCATGCAAAATAAAAAAAACAACAGAAGAGTAATAACTCTATAACATCATTTGATTTGTGAAAGTACTTCAACTAGTTAATACTTTAAGATCTCCACTCTGAGCCAAAGTTTCTCTGAAACAGGACACTGTTAGTATGTGTACAGACCATCATGTGATCACAGACTCATATATTCAATAACTGGCCTACTAAATATACTTAAACAATAAAACAGTATGCACAATAAAAATGAATTCAATAAAACAAGATAACAAACCAATAAAACAAAAACCTCTAAGTACACAATGTCTCCATGACAACAGGTCTTCATCCTTCCCCAAGATCCCATCTTTCGAAAATGCAATCATGAAATGAATTGCCAAATTGAAAAGAAAAAAGCATGTCTGAGAATGGGAGGGAGGGGGGGGGGGAGGTTGTATGAATAAAGCATCCATTAAACTGAATGTCTTTTTGTACAAAGTTATGCATCCAGTTCACAGCTTCATCTCAAAACCATCAAGTGATCTTCGTCAAAACCTGAACACTCTTCAAAACATGAACTAGGCAACAGTGGAAGTAACAATTGGATCCAATTGTAGACAAAGTCATAACACATTTCAAAGGAAATTGTTTGTTGTAATGATGGGAATATCAACAAAACTGATGGCAGTACATTTATAGAAATAATGATATAACTGCATGCTGACATAGGAAAAGGATATTTTGGTTTCTTTATTTAAATATATCAAAAGAAAATTTTTTAGTTTGCATTATTTCACATTTATATAAACAACAAAACTTAGAATTGATACACAAGTTTGCCTATAGGAATTAAAAAACAATACAAACAAAAACAAAATGAAATACAAGAATATATTTTTTAAAACTTGATTAAAGGCCTGGTGGGAATCAATTCTCTAGGCATTTCATACAATTAAAAAGTATCCACAATATTTACAGCTAATACACAATTTGAGACACAATAGAAACATTTTGAATACATTTTTGTTTTTTATACAAACATTTAACAGCATTAACTGTTGTTTTTGTTTTTTTAAATGAATGAAACAGCAGCACTTACCTAAATATTTAGAGTTGAATGGGGAAAGAAAACTTCTTATACGAATTACAAGAATTGCCAGATTTTTACATGAAAAAGGTTAAGTAATAAAGTTTACTTTGTAAACATAATTAATGCAAACATGGTACAAGAAAGTCATTGCTTGATGAGAAAAGTTTTTTTTTGGAACACATTCTTGGGTAGTCTATTGTGCGTTACATCCAAAGGTTTCACAAAAAGTCATCTCAGTGTATTTCTAAAATCATAGAGATTATACAGACTAATATCTAATGCTCTTACTCTCTCCTGCCTCAAAGTTAGGAAATAAATTGCTAACAATGAATATATCTTACAGTGCATTCTTTTCATCTAGAAATCCCAACATTTTACCCAAACACTAGTTTTAAAAAACTTTTCTTTTAGGTGCTTGTTAAAACAAAAACTGCCTTCTAGCCTTCAGGTTCCAGTATGCAAATAGAATGCCTTATTAGACATTCTATCAACTAAAAGGATATAAATGAAGTAATGCTTACAGCTATGTCCAAAGACTAGGATATGTAAATATCTGTACATTTAATCATAAAAAATGTTTAAAATAAAATAAGTTTCACTTTAAAAATTTATGGCCAAAGTTAAAAATCTTTTGCCTTTGAAAACTTCATTCTTTGTACTTCAGAAAATATTTGTTGGGAACATGTCGTAAAAAAAAAAAAAAACATATTTAAGATGCAAGTTGATCCTTATTTCTAGCCTTGTATAATTATATATATATATATATATATATATATATATATATATATATATATATATATATATATATATATAAGTTTTTACTACAATACAATTATATATTCATACAAATGGATTTATGATTTTCAAAAGGAAAAAAAATCAAATATAAATTTAGTGTTTCAAAATGTTCCATTAAATGAAATCCACTGTTGTATCAAAGCGCTTGAACAGTGTGCATGTTAAGTGATCCCAGAAACTTTCCTTAGGAAACTTGTGGAATTCACAGACTAAAGAAACTATTGCTCTATGTATAATGTAAAATGTTTAGTGTGTAAGCTGAGCAAAGTAATTTAAATGTAACAATTAACAGGTAACAAAAACTATGACTTTTATCATCAATGTTTAACCATTGTCAAATTTCAATGGAATAATCTAAGAAAAACAAGGGAAATGCTGTGAAAACAGCCAATAGAAATAATGGTCAGATATATTTTGTTTTTCATTTTAAATTTTAAACAATTTTGCACTTTTAAGAAATATGGTAATTCCTTTTGGAAAACACTTACGCAGAAAAAAAATCAAATCATTATTGTAACGAAGGAAATAAATTACCATCAAACTTCACTACTATATTGGAGTGATTTATGTTTTCTTTTTAAAAGAACATTTCACATCCCAGATCATCTTGACATAATGGCATGGATA